AGAGTGGAGGACGTACTTCCTCTGACTGTTCATGGGAGTATTTGAATTACTTCCCACTGAAAACAGCTTCACATTTATGCCACTTTTCAAAATTTATAGAATGCATGAAGAAACATTATGTGAGCAATAGCATGGGTGGGGCTACAGACTAACAGTGGAATAATCATAGCCCTCAGTTTACTGAGAAGCGGGAAGCAAGACGTGGGTGGCTTCAGCCAAGAGAAGCTGTAATTTCCACCTACCCCAACCTGAGAGACCCTGCAGCAGGTAATTGTACTTTACCAAATGAATTTAATGTACCTTAGAAAGTAAACAACAAAAATAAATAGCTTTGCCAACAAGGCAGGACATTTTCAGAAATGGATAAACACATTTCATACTTTTTAAACCTTTTAAAATGCTTAAAATGTAGCTTATATTTGAGTCTTCTGTAGTTTCAAAAAAGTGAAGCTGTGAACATCAGACAATGCTTTCTTAGGGAAAGAGTTTGCCATTCAGCTTCTATTAAAAAAAACAGTCTCCAAGATTTTACTGATTACAATTTCATTTATACATTTTGACTATGTTAAGGGTCAGGACGGGCTGGGTGGATAGAAGGAAGAGGAAAAAAATGATAACTAGGGCTTTATTCCCCTTACATAATGGAGTTGAGTCTTAGATTCCCAAGTCTATCATTGGAGAACTCGCTAAATGATTTGCTTAAATTCACCAAATTGAAAAGTATGATAATGATACATCTACTACGATAAGTGAAAACAAAAAATATGGTATAGATTCCTAAGATGTTGATTTGAAAATAATGCAAATCAATACTGAGATACTATAAATACACATTCTCTTTCCCCCAAAAAGGGTAACATTTCATTAATTATACATTCAAGTAAAACTTTTCAATTGCCTGGATGAAAAATCAAATATTGACAGATTCTTCAAAGTAAACAACAGATACCATTGCCAGAAATAAAATGGCAGTGATTCAAATGCATTAATATGGAATTTAAAAATCATACATGGTAAGTAATCTATTCTTGTAAATTGTTTTCTCTGTGATACAGAAAATTAATGCAAAAATTTCTGAAAGGCAGAAACTATTTATTGTTCCTTTGTAACTTAAAAAAACATTCACATGAAAAAGATATCACTACACACACACACACACACACACACACACACACAAAACTTGAAAGCTTCCTGCTGATCTAACATTCATGGCATATTAAAATATAGCAACTTCAAGGTAACCATTTATTCAACCAGAAGATATTAATGGTTAGAACTGTACAATTAGAAAAGTAGCACTCTTTACTTGAGTAAAATAAGATTGATTTTAGATGGGGAATTCAGTGCCACATAGAAGCCAGTATTCAGGACAGGTAGTGTTTATAGAATTAGGTAGGTTATGTTGGATATCTCAAAAGGAACATTTCCCTGTATTACAAAGAATTTTAAGCTTTAGAAATATCTATTAATTCTTAGATAGTTATCACAGGTTGAAGTGGCTGAGGTCGATGGTGATACTTATAAATCTTTGGAACCTGAAATTTGTGAAAAGAGAAAAAGAAAGAAAGAAAGAAAGATGAGAGAGAGAGAGAGAGAGGAAAGAAGGAAGGAAGGAAGGAAGGAAGGAAGGAAGGAAGGAAGGAAGGAAGGAAGGAAGGAAGGAAGGAAGGAAGGAAGGAAGGAAGGAAGGAAGGAAGGGAAGGGAAGGAGGGAGAGGGGAAGGAAGGAAGATGAAAGAAAGAAAGAAAGAAAGAAAGAAAGAAAGAAAGAAAGAAAGAAAGAAAGAAAGAAAGAAAGAGAGAAAGAAAAAAAGAAAGAAAGAGAGAAAGAGAGAGAAAGAGAGAGAAAAAGAGAGAGAAAGAAAGAAAAGAAAGCTGGACATCATAATGTAAACTAGTATTGACTTTATATTTAGATGTATCATGCTTATAAATTATATTCAACTTCTTTTCAGAGAATGTTTAAAGATTAGTATCATATACCCTTCTCATCCTAATGATTTGATAACCGTGGTTTCTCTCACATCTGAAATGAACTTGATTATCCTGCGCTCCTCCCTAAGACTAAATCAGACAAAGCTTGTGAAGACATTAATTAACTATAATAAACATGTGTGACAACGATTCATCACATGTGAAAAAGATGATTTTAAAAACAAAATCTCTCTAGTTAGAAGTAAAATGACTCATGATTCAGCCTGATACTATTTAATTCCATGAAGAGTACACAAATTAAATGTTGCTCAAATAAAGAATAAGATAAAAAAAGACTAATATAAATGTAAAATGTCAGGGCATTTCATAAGTTAGGCAGCAGCTATGAATATAAGTTATTTTTACTCTATCCCCTCCCACACAAATGAGGCTATCTCAGATTTAAAACACCTCCAAGTGCAATACAGCCATAGTTTTACTTAACACATTTTAATATGCATACTGAACATAAACATTCAATAAAGGTGAATCCATATTTATTAATATAGTCATTTCACTCACTTGATTCATTATCACTAGCCTTAAAGCACAGTCCAATTTATTTGAAATTTCCACATCTCTCACACTAATGATCAATTGTAAATAATCCCTAGGTTTAATAGAAAGTTCATTACAATAAATGCTGTACTACTTTTAAATAAAGATAAAATAAGATAAAAATGGAAATGATGAAAATAAAAATAAAAAACAAATCGTTTAAATAGGGATACAGGTGGACCCATTGCAACAATGAGATGTACAAGTCATTATGTTGAAAACAAACTTTACAACTTTCGTGGGGGGGGGGGGAGAATGGGGGGGCAGGGGGAGGATGGGAAGGGATGGGAAGGGGAAACAAAGGAGGAGGCTACAATGCTTGATAAGAAATGTACTCATTATCTTGCCCATGTAATTGTAACTCCTCTGTACAGTATTTTAACAATAAAAAAAAAACCAGATTGAATATTTTCATGAACAAAGTAAATCAGGAAGATAAATGTGATAGCAAATCAATACCGACTATGGTAATTTATATATACATTATAAGAAATAAAAGTGGAAAAAAGACCATTTTAATAAAATAAAATACATGTAGGAATATACTCAGGAGAATAGATTTTTTAAATTATTTTTCCATGTTAAAATGGGATACTAATTTCAGAATGTAGAATAAACTACTTTTCAGTTTCCACATTGTGTCTACATTTTGATGACTTCTATGAGTGTTCAGACTGTGGGCTTAACATGTCTCTCCAGAAAGTTTATCTACTTCTGGAAAAACAATTGTGTCATGAACTCAAACAGGAGGCTGTAGCTTTACAGAATATTTAAAGCAAACTGTGAGATTCAGGCTAAGCCTTGGAGGTAAAAATATATCTTTAACAACTTTCAAAGTATAAATAATGATAATTACCAGATCTTTGGACTTCTAAGTGTTACAGATGGCTGATCAGGTATACTTCCTTCTATTGCTAAGGTTCCTTTGAAAGGTGCAATTAATATAAAAAACAATTCAACGCCTGAGTTCCAGATGCTCAAGGATGTAATCCTAGCTACTCAGGAGGCTGAGATCTGAGGATTGCAGTTCAAAGCCAGCCTGGCCAAGAAAGTCCATGATACTTTTGTCTCCAATTAACCATCAAAACAAGAAGTAAAGCTGTGGGTTAATAGAGATAGCCTTGAGCAAAAAAAGCTCAGGAACAGAACCCAGGACCTGTGTTCAAGCCTCAAGACTAGCACAAAAAACAAAACAAAACTAAACTAAACTAAAAAGGCCCAATTTAAGAATACTTATAGATTATAAAATAGCTAAGTGAATGTTTTGTTTCACTGTAGATAAGAATTTTTGGTGAATAGCCTAGTATAGTAAAAATGAACAGATGTCTAAGAAACAAGATATTTTCTAACACTTATATTCTCATAGATTTCCAGTTTTATTTTTGAATTTTCAGAAACCCTTATAAACCACTGTACTAACTTCAAATATTTCAACCAAATGACTAATGTATACAAAATGCCTCCTGAAACTAATTTAAAATTAAACTATTTTCAGTCATTAAAAACAATAACAACACTGCATGGTAAAATGCATTCAAGTAACTTAGTTTACAAAATTTCTTAGTATTTTTTATATGTAGCTAACAAGTCCTCAATTCATAACAATATAGAAAAGATACATAAAACTTTATTTCTATTTTATTCATTCTCTGAGTTCAGTTCACCTATTTATTTTTCCACTACTTGTTTCAGGTATGTTGAAGGCAATAACAAAAGAAATACATCTGTATTCTGCAATGGACGTCAAGCAGTTGAGCAAATTTTTAACAATAGATTTTTTTTTTTGTTATTGTTAGATGTGGGGCTTGAATTCTGTGCCTGGGCGCTGTCCCTGAGCATTTCAGTTCAAGGTGAGTACTTTACCACTTGAGCTAGAGCACCACTTCTGGTTTTCTGGTGGTTCACTGGAGATAAGAGTCTCACAGACATTTCTGCCTAGGCTGGCTTTGAGCTGAGATTCTCAGATCTCAGCTTCCTGATTAGCTAGGATTAGAGGTGTGAGCCACCAGAGCCCGGCCATAGATTTTTTTTTTTCCTGTAAAATATTTATCTCACTGCAGCACTATTCAGTGACTTTTCTGTCTAGGATATGACCACTGCCCCGATGATAACAGCATTATTGAGAAAGATAATTTCCAAATGGTAAAGTGTTTTTCCTTGTTTACTTGAAAGAAAAAGATCTCTTAAAAATATTGTCACCTACAATGATCAGAGATTGTTTTTTCTTTTTGCTGAAAATAAAAAGTTCATCAAAATAGCCATTCAAAGATGGACACCTGATTCATAATAGAATGGTAGCAAGTATTGACACTGTTCCTTTATCAGCTAAATTATGACACTATCACAGTATTGAACTCATAGGAGTTCTTAGAGCAATTTTTTACATTGTATGTCAAATAATTTGAACTTTTAATATTGCATGCATATTGTCCTATATTGTTATACAAGATTTCTACTGTTGAGTCTTACCTGCACATTTTGTTCTAGTGATGAGCGGTGGTCCTGGGAGCCCGGTTCCACCTTCTCCAGGTCTTGTAAGTAGGACACGGATCTCATATTCGGTATCTGGATCTAAATGCCAGAGCTTGTAAGTTGGAGCATTGACTGCATGGGTTTCTGTCCAGGACCCTGATGTCATGCGATATTCCACTTCTTTCAGGATAATGGGACCATCACCAATGATGGAGTTGGCATTTAGCTGGATCAGTAGATATGTAGGCCCAACGCCAAGCAACTGAGGAGGAGCAATGGGTCTTGGTGGTTCTGTAAGAGATGAAGGTACACTCTAATTAAAAAAAAAAGTTCAAAATGTAACAACACAAAAATCTGTCAATGTCTTTAAAGCACTGAAGACTTAGTAAATCATTCATTTAGAAGCATATGATAGCTGTGGAAAAGAAAATGAGAATGAGAGCAGTGTGATACCTGTACTATCTTTTTTTAACCTTTAATCATTTTCACACATTTCTTTTTACAAAAAAACCCTGCTTCTCCAAGATATAAACTAATAAAAGACAAGAATTACAAGAGATAGATACGGATATGTACATAGATATATCTCAGATATAGAGATAGATAGGTAGACAGACAGACAGACAGACAGACAGACAGACAGACAGACAGACAGACAGACAGACAGATAGATAGATAGATAGATAGATAGACAGATAGATAGATAGATAGATAGATAGATAGTTGGATGATAGATCTTTGTTCCTTACTTCTTCAGAGTACCAGCAGACATGATAAGGGAAGTTGATCAGGGTGGTGATTTCTTTCTATGTATTCAGCTTACAGAGTGGGAAAGTGAAATTCACACCATGCAAAAATCACAAATCACTACTTAACCTTAGACCTTGACAGGGACATTTGTCAAGGAAGCCTTAGTTCTGTCAGTATATCAGTCCATGGGAAATACCATGATTTGACGTTCTAATCAGTACACTGTAACAAGGAGAGGGATGTCTTTAAGCTATTGAAACACTGCTCACACTTCACAGAGAAGTTAAAAGAGTGTAAATCATAATATTAATCTTACTAAACTGATTATAGCCCTGAAACTGATTTAAAGATTACTTTTTAATAGAGTAACTATTGTAAAGGAATATATTTAAGGCAACCACAAAATGCTTCCTTCACACTAACCAACCCAGACAAGGGTAGCCTGGAGGAGAAACAAACAAACACAGGAGGTTAACAAGGTACCCACAGTATCTTTGGTATTGTCCAATGGCAATACATTGTATACAGAAACTACAATTTAAAAAGCCACATGAAGGTCTGACCTTATTTAGGTCTAAGTGAATCAAGAATTTTCAGCTGGTGTACAGGATTTTCTTGTAATTCTGCTTGTATGGAAAGGAACAGCTGGCATAAATCTCTACATTGAGATAGACTAGCTGTCCCAGGCTAACTCATTTAACTCATTTGAGTTTACAGAAGCTGAAATTATTTCCATAAGTAGTGTTTATTGAGTACCTACTAACTACCCAGCAGTTCCTATAGTGGGCATCCATATAACATTGTGAATATAACATTGTGAAGGAAGAATGGACAAGATTAACTTATTCCTTTAAAATGAACTTAACATGAAACAAATAGCACACTGTGATAAAAATCACTTTAACAAGCCCAGCACGGGTGGCTCACGCCTGTAATCCTAGCTACTTAGGAGGCTGAGATCTGAGGATCGCGTTTCAAAGCTAGCCCGGGCAGGAAAGTCCGTGAGACTCTTATCTCCAATAAACCACCAGAAAACCGGAAGTGGCGCTGTGGCTCAAGTGGTAGAGTGCTAGCCTTGAGCTGAAGAGCACAGGGACAGCACCCAAGCCCAGAGTTCAGGCCACACAACCGACCAAAAAAAAAAAAAAATTCACTTTAACAATACAAGTAATGCAATAGCCTTCAAAGTAGCTATTTAAAGAACAATATGACTTTTTGTTGTTGTAGTTGTTATTTTTGTTGGTCGTGGGGTTTGAACTTTGGGCTTGGGTGCTGTCCCTGCACTCTTCAGCTCGAGGTGAGGGTGAGCTCTCTACCTCTTGAGCCACAGCTCAACCTCTGGTTTTCTAGTGGTTTATTAGAGATCAGAGTCTCATGGACTTTTCTGCCCGGGCTGGCTTTGAACCATGATCCTCAGATCTCAGCCTCCTGAGTAGCTAGGATTACAGGCTGAGCCACTGGCACCCAGCTCAATATGACTTTTGATTGACTACAAAAAAAAAAGAAAGAAAATAAACCCAAATTGTGTATGACATCCATCATACATATATAGAACTATTTACAAGAAAGTGTACTTCTTCACACCTGATTTTAAAATGATAACCACAAAATCTAATCTTAATGATTTTGTGTACTGATTTAATAATATGTATTTAGGGGCTGGGAAGGTGGCTCAGTGGTATAGTGCTTGCCTTGCATGCATGAGGCCCTAGGTTCGATTGCTCACCACATAAACAGAAAAGGCTGGAAGTGGTGCTATTCCTCAAGTGGTAGAGCACTAGCCTTCAGCTGAAGAGCTGAGGGACAGCTCCCAGGCTCATGACCGACAAAAAAGAAATAAAAATAATAATGTGCATTTAAAGTTGCACCCCGGTAAACTATTTCCTATTTCGCAAATGAATTCTATGAAGTTTTTCTCAAAAGCAAAAGCTTAAGTAAGGTGAAATAGTTTCAATGTTATCATCTAAAATAAGATTCATTTCATTTAAAAAAAAAATCTTACCAACTAACCTATAACTCTAAACTTTAGAGTTTTCTAAAATTTTATTTTAGTCAGGAAGAAAGAGAGAGATATTCTCTCTAAATCCTAAACTAAAATAAAACATTAAAAAAGAAATATAGGTGAGAGGAAACATATAAATGTCTTCCCAGCCTCTCTAAATGTTACCCATATTTTAAAAAGCACACTGTACTTGGCTAATAAGCTGAGTGGCCTGAATACCATGTTTGCATTCCAGATGGCTCAGATACTGACTAATTTAAGTTAAGGTAGAAAACAATGATAAACTGACAGCTCTCTGGGGTTCCACCCGGAGCCACTATACCTCACTCACTTTACAACTCAGCCATGACGCAAGGAGTTCTGGAACTTAACATGGTACGTGAACAGGAAGAACATGACAAATAATTTATGAATAATACTAGTTAATTTATAAATTTATAGCTTCTCTATGCAATGTGAGATCTAACCCTTGAAACTCTTGATACTTTGCCATAGAAATAAAAGAGCAAGCAAGAGTTGAGAGTAGAAGGTGGGAAGGACAGGAAAGAAGACAAAAGCTACAGCTAAACAGTATTACAGTTAAACAATGGTTCCCATGGTTACTTTCTTTAAATAGTGACATATCAATACAATAAAATCTGGAGTGAAGAGGGTAAGTTTCAAAATACATAGTTATATATACTCACAACCCAGGAAATGTGAATGGTATTTACTTTTGCATTACAATAATTTCATTAGTAAGGTAGGCATTATACAACAGATTAAAAAATACTTGATACTACTAAATACATCCACAAACCCTATATATGATACTAATTGCTTTTTTGACAGTGTGCATATAAATTTAAAAATGAGAAATTAATATTCAACAAGAAGAGTATGTGAGAGTAAGTTTGATGTAAACATTGTCGTCAACTGAGGAAAGGAGTAAGGAAGTGTGGCCAGTTTCCTATTTTACAGCTATGTTATACAAAAAAGAGAACAATCTCATATGCAAAGCAGTTGCTCCAATTCTGAGTGATGGTGATATAAAAAGGGTCTACAAAGCATATACATTGATTAGCAGCGTGATTATGAGAAGGGAAACTCACATTAATGAGAGTAATATACCACTACATATTAAATTTTTATGTTGGAGGTATAAAGTAGCTTTATATTAGCATATGTACTTTGTTTTTGGACTCTTGAGAGCAAGAAGATTTATTTATAAAATCCCTATTCATTTCAGTAAATTATACATGAATTTTAATCAGTTAGCAAATGAACAAGTAATTGTTCTGCAGCAATATTAATATTCTTCATAACTTAATACACTACCAGACCCAAAGGTACTGTGGAAATAAATCCCACTGTACACTAAGTATGAAGTGAAGCATGCAATCCCTAAAATACAAGATAAACTTTACCAATGTTACCCATTAACTTTCAATTAATGCCTTACATTCATTATTCTAGTGTCTACCTATTATAAGGTCCCAATTATATATTCCAATTACCTTATTCATTTTATATCTCAAATATTTTTTTCACTAGGTACTGAAATCAAGCAAATCACTATGAAAATGTATTTTCATCCAGAAAATAGCAATATCCTATTGGTATTTTACAAGTATGCACTGCTTATCAAGTGTCAGTTAATCAATAAAATGCAAAATCACAAACAGAAGCCACAAAGCCAGAAAATGTCAGTAACAAAGTAAATGTCAAGGCAAATAACACTTCTACATCCATTTTCCAAGTAGACAAACTAAACACCTTACAATTCTATTTCCGTCTTAATGGTTTTGTTTGTCAATGAGGCCTTAACATGAAGTATTCTAAGATTACCTCTTCCCCTAGAGAAGTAGGCAGTGATGTCGCTTCAGTCTCCTGGGTCTTCTCTAGAAAATTACAATAAGCTCGGTGACAATTTTTGCAATTTTAAGAGGAAAAAAAAATCTATTCTTTCATGGTTCTTGACCGGGTAAACTAAATCAGTAACACTAGACAGAAATAAAAATGTCAGAGAATTCTACATCCTGCCCCCCCCCCCCCGCCCACAATCCTCCCAAAGACCCTAAGTAAAAGTTAGATACGTTAGTTCCTTGTTTTTTGTTTGTTGTTTTTTATTTTTTCCAAGGTATTGTATCTGCTGGTGTTCTTTGACTTATTTTACACCCTCCTCCCAATCAACGCCCACTTTCCCTTCTCCTCTTCTGTCTCTAGTCAAATTCTGTGCTATCTATTTACAAGGAAAGTTAAGAATGCATCTAGGACATATGGACAACTCAAGACACCTTCACCATTTCTAACTCCCTAGCATAATTACATCTGGAAAAATTATAGAGCAATATAAAGGTAGCATTTACAGTTTAAAAAAATGAAAATAGTATTAGAGAACATTTTCAGCCTGTGACAGACATGAACCAGGATTCCCTTTTTCCTGAAAGACAGTTCAATCAGACCAATTTCTAGTTGGTTTCTAACTTGAGAGTGTGGCTCAAGTGGTAGATCACCAACCTTGAGTGAAAAAGTTGAGCAAGAATGTGAGGCCCTTAGT